CCATAAGCCGAACGCCAGACACTTGCTAAAAATTTAAAGCCAAGTGGCAAGTCTAGCCGAGCGCCAGGCACTTAAGCAAGATAAGTGGCAGCTGGCACCATAAGCCGAACGCCAGACACTTGCTAAAAATTTAAAGCCAAGTGGCAAGTGGCATTCTAGCCGAGCGCCAGGCACTTAAGCAAGATAAGTGGCAGCTGGCACCATAAGCCGAACGCCAGACACTTGCTAAAAATTTAAAGCCAAGTGGCAAGTGGCATTCTAGCCGAGCGCCAGGCACTTACCATAAACAAACACACGGCAAAGCTAATATAAAAGAAAAGAGAGAAAAGATATGTATGTATTGAAAATAAGTTGAATAGAGCACAACACATAGGGAAAAAGAGTTCTGTCATTTCATTGATATTGAGCATTGAGTTTACAAAAGTGAGATGTCCATCGTTACAAAAAGATATGGAATGGAAGAGTCCAAAGGAGCCCTAGCTAGACGCCTCAGTACCAACAGCATCCTGGTCGTGCCGACTCGCCTCCTCGGCCCCATCAGCCGTCTCACCTTCACGAGGTGGGGAATCAAGATGAATGACTGAATCGTTCGGCTGGGGCTCAGCGTCAGCAGTGGCTATGGAAGGTACCACGGTTGACGATTGAGGAGCGGTCAGAGGCAGAGCGGTAGGAGGAGCTGTAATGATCCTTGAGGAAGCAATGTCCTGGCACTCATCGAATATGCGCTCCGCTTCGGTGGGTTCTGGGTCGACATAGACCCCCAGAGGTTCGATCCCTAGATCCTTGTCGACCTCATCTGGAGTGGAACTGGTCTGTCCCTCATCCGGAACTCGGTCGGCGAAACCTTCCCGGAATCCTTGAGCATACCTAAGAGCACCGACCCTTGAGAACCGAGCGTGAAGAGCCAGCATCCCACCGCTCACTCTGCTGATCGCATCGATCAGAGCGGTACGCTCGTCCAGAGCTCTTTTCTCAAAAGCCATCCGAGCAGACTGTTCATCAGCCAGAAGGCGCTGGAGTTCTGCCTTTTCTTCTCTAATTGATTCACGCTCAGTCTGCCAGACGCTCTTTTCAAGCTGGAGGGCATCCTTTTCATCCTGAAGGGAGTCATTCTCCTTCTTTAGGACATCTCTCTCTTGTTCAATTTTGTCAAGCCGAGCCAGTACCTCGGTATTCTTCATGGCGAGGAGGTCGTTTTCTTTATTAGCCACCTCCAGGCTATCAGAAAACTTACGAGCCCTGGCGTTCCCCATCTCCACCTGCTTCTGCATGGCCATAATTCCGAACAATGTCTGCATAGGTGCACATTAAAAACGGTTAAGCCAATAGTCAGGTCGGGCGAAGGCAAGACCAAATAATATGAGAGAATTCATGAGTTGGAAAATAAAAGTCACCTCCATAGCAGATTGGGAAAAGCGGCTGAACACATCCTTCTGGGATAGGCCCTTTGCCGCCTCAAGGTCTTTCGGAGTCCACATGCTCCTATAGTACGCCATGGCGGTCTGGCCATCCTTCAGCATGGTCTCGTTCGGTTTCACGAACGTCCCATCCGTTCGGGTGTACTGAGGGGCCCATGGCGGTAAGGTGGGGATAGAAGGGGGGCCTGAAGCAGAAGCGGAGCCACCAGCTGCAGTAGGCCCAGAGGGAGCAGGAGCTCTGATCGCACGGTGCAAGAGAGCACCCGGCCCGGAGACCCGGGTCCTTCTTATGAGAGGCTCCTCCTCAGGATCGACTTCACTGTCGGGATGAGGCCTTTTGCCTCGTTCTTTGTCCCGAACGCCCCCCGCAGCAGCAGGGGCTGAGGTAGTTTGGGGAGACGCGCTCTGGTTGGCAGCAGGGGTGCTGACAACAGAGTTAATAGCCACTGTGCTCGGGACAGTGTCAGAGATGGTGGCTGAGGAAGAGGCTGACGCTGGAGAGGAGGTCGCCCCAGCAGCAGGAGTGGCTGGGGGAGTATTTTTCTTCCTGCCAAAAGAAGGAATCTGAAGCCTGCTCATGTTGTAGCCGAGTGATGAGAGCGCTAAGAGGTTGTCTGAAGTGAGGAGATCTGAGCAGGAAGGAATATCGTTCAGAACGTATTTCTTCAAGTAATTACTCCTATCCCTGCAAACACTGTAGCTCAAGTCATCACAAGGTATTCCTAAGGAACGGCATAAGAAAGTACAAAAACGGGGAACGCATGTTTCGCAGGGGCAATCATGTTTATGAGATTTGAATTTCTTATAGGAGGAGACAGAACAGACACCAAAGGTGCTCGGGATTGGGTAACCCTCTGCAGCCGGCAAAGACCAAGCCCCACTAATGCCCACGATGCTATCCCTCCAACCCTTTTCAGATTTTATTGTGTCCGTACATATGGACATATTCTCGAACGGGTAGAGGTGGTAGAAGGGTTCGTTAGTACGGATCTTACTGACCTTATAGCACAGAAGAAGGTCTATGAGGTCAAGGTCCAGATTTCTGTCACGCATCAACAAGAGCATAACGGATATGATTCTAAAGAAGTTGGGGTTGACCTGCAGGGGGGATATCCCCAATCTATTGAAGACATAACTAAAGAAAGGGTGCAGAGGGAACCTAACAACATTCAATTGAAGGTTCGTGAATAAGACTTCGCCGGGCAGGAGGCCGGTACCGGTCATAATGTTAACGTCCTGAGGGCAAACCCTAACTTCGATGTTGTCAGGAAGTCTAAGTCTCATACGAAGAACATCCAGATCTACAACCATGGTGGAAATGCTTGAAGGATCTAAAAGGGGGTAAATGGAACCTGCCGAAAGTAAAAAGGAACGAAACTAACCTCAGAGGACTGCAAGATCGCTGGAAGAATGACTCTTGAAGGATTTCACCAGAAAAAGCTTAGCACTGTTCTAGAAAGAGAGAGATTTGACTGATGATGGAGACGGTAAAAGGACGTGAAGTGGTATTCTAGAGCCTTATAAAGGCGAGGGGGGCCCGAGGGCCGAAGCGTCGGGAATGCGAGAAATTCCTCGAGCCCCGGAATATTGATTCTGGATCTGACCGTCCGTTCCCCCACGTGGTTCTCTCGAGCCGTCAGCGTCATGATGAGACGCCATCAATAATTACCCCTTATTAAATAAGGGGCAATTATGGGGGCAGTTGAGGAGGCCCAGGACGACATGGGCCGGATCTGACTTGCAAGCACTACATCCGGTCCGTACAGCTGGGTCAGCCCATATAAAGACACTGCCATATGGGCCGAACGCGAGTAAGCCCATCAAAGGTGACCAGGACTTATGGAGGAACCGACCCAGATCCAGCAATCAGTCGATATTTGTAAATATCTTGTAAATATCTATAAATAAGGGAAGGAATGGAAAATGAGGGGGATCTTTTTGGGTTGAAGTGTAATAATTCTAGAGAGAGAAAGAGGGAATGAATTTCTTGCATCTTCAGCAGTATAAGGCGTGAGCCTGATTGATGTAAGGCGCGTGTATATAATAATGCATATTTAAACATATATTACTATATATATTCATAATCAGTAATTGCAGTTACTGTAAGTAGTGAACCATAAATTTATGAACTTTGTCAAATATTTCAGAAGGTTAAACAATAAGATATATGATATAGAACCTTTTAATTACTAGTCATTAAGTAAAAGAAAATGATATGAATAAATGATTAAAAGATACAAGACGCGCCTTTTTCTTGGCCTGGAATCTACTAAAAAGTGTGAGCCTGAGGGTTTTATGTGACCTTGATTGAATGGGCCTGGTCCGTAGTAGGTTGAGGTGCTCTAGCTGAGTTTTGACGAGCATGGGGATTTTTTAGAGCCTAGGCGCGCCTTTAACAACTATGAGTCAAGATGAAGGGGGCTGTGCTGAGTAGTGGAAGAAATTTGCAATCAACTGTAAAATGATAGGCCTCGTATGTTTCGAAGCAAGAATTGTTTTTGTGGCACCATGGGATATTCTCATTCATTAGTACCTATGTGTTTGCTGCAGATTGTTTTACTTAATTGGTTGCTTACATAGTTTTTTTTGCCATTTTCAAGAAAAACTTAGACATATACATATAGCTTTTAAAGGTGGATTTGTCACACTGTGAGTCCATTTTCATTTCTGTGGTGTTAAATGTTGGCTCCTAGAGCCCAAAATGAGTTTTAGTGCTGTCCAATGTTTTGGGGTTTTGGACTAGATACCTTGTCTATTGCTAACTGCCATTTTTTAAAATTTTGTTTTATACCGTATATTTTTAAAGTTGAAACAAACACATTTTCAGAATATTGTCCAATTGGATCCAATAAAAAAAGAAAAAGAAGAGGGGAGTATTTTGTAACTTTTTAAACTATAAAGAATTTAGTGCAATTGGGTCATTATTATATTTACCATAAGGGCAAGTCAAGGTACTTTATAAAAATTATAAAGGGGATGAAGTTCAAACTTCTGGAAAGTAAAATTAATTTATTAAAACAAGAAAAAATTCAGAACTTTACAGAAAAACTAGTCTTATGAAACTAATTCAAGACCAACCCACTGTTAATTCAAACATTTCATGTCTGATTTGCTTAATCAAATCAACTAAAATTTGAATCTTATTCGGTGCTGCAATTGATAGGGCGCTAAATGCTAAAATGGGTAAATGGTTGTGGTGTGCCCTTAAGTCGTATAATTTTTTTAAATGGGTGATGTTCTTATGCTTTGCGTGCGCATTCGCTCTTACTTTTTGCGTGCGCATCTGATCTTGCGCTCCACACACTTACTTCCCATCCCACTACGGGCAATTTAAATTTTACTGTTTTTACACTCTTTGTACTCGCTCCCGCTTTCACAATCGGGAATTAGGTGTCTCCATGTTCGGGACATATGTTTTTTTAGTTTGTAGAAATAGAAAGAAAAAAAAAATTAAATAAAAATCCATACTAGACTTACCGAACTTGAAGAAAAGATATTCGGATTAAAATTGAAGTTGTGGATTTTAGTCGGAGTGGAGGGTTTTATTAATTTTTAAGGTTTGGTTTGACTTCTCAGTCAATTATTATTCACTTTACTCCCTTCCCTTTCCTTGCAAATCGTTCGATCAAATTTCTTTCCTTTCCTTTTCTTTTCCTTTCATTCTATTTCGTTCAATCAAATCTCTCTCTATTTGAAGGTTTCTAGGTCTGCCAGATTCCCTGTAAATTGGATTCTCCCGACTCCTGGTAAAATTTGAATCTGTGGTTTTCTATAAACTCCGTCCTTCGAAATCGGTTCTGCATATTTGATTGCAAGTTCAATTCTCAATTGACGAAATCTTCACTTCTCAGTAGTTTCAGAGCTTCAAATCTGCTGAAATTTCTGATAGTGATCACATTTATAAGCTTTTCAAGTTGAAATTCTAGGTTTTGATGATCTGAACTCGAATTCGAATGAAGTGGGTCGTCTTGAGCTATGGTTGTTTGTTTAGTGTTGTGGACAGTGTTTTCAAGATCTGAAGATTGTATTTGAATATATATATTTTTTTATTGGATGAGATATTGAATTTGGGGTTGCTATGGATATGGATTTCAATGGGGATGTGGCGTGTCTTGACGCTGAATTGCTGCAGCTCCCGGAGGTATCTCCTTTGTCCATTAATTCAAACCCTTATATTGCTGAGAAGCTGTTTGAGCAGTGGCTTTCACTTCCCGAGACTGCTCTATTGGTAACTATCCCAATGCCACATTTATATGATTTTCCTCATTGCATCATATCAGAAATGGAATTGCTTCGGTTCACACTATAGTGTGTTGTTTTAATTGTTTATTGGAATGCTGTGATTGCGAATCATAATTGTGTTGTTTACATTTGATCCTTAGCAACGACATGAATAAAATTGAAACAAATGAAAAACAAAATGACGAATGGATTATCCGGTGTATACCAACTTAATGTAATGCAGCACTAGTCAACTTTGTATAAGTGTGACAGAAATGTGGCCACTCCCAGTTTTATGCTTTGGTAGGTTTACTTAGGACGATCACTGTTTCTCGTTCTACCATCAACTCTACAGATTCAAAACTCTTTACCCCCTGAGAGTCCTTTGACGGCAGGAAACCAAGATGAGGGAAGCACTGACATCATCCGTGCAAAATCTGATTATACTGCTATCTCTCTTCAAATACTATGAGTACCCATTTGATCTGAATTGCCGTGCAGGAGTAATCAAAATTCAACTTCAAACAAAGTTAACAAACAGTACAATGAGGAATTTAACAAGCATGAATCTTACATTTCATTTCTGTAGAACCTGTATTAGCTCCCCAGTTCCAATAGTATTGGGAGGGATGGGCCTGTAAACTTGCCAAAACTTAGTACTTGAATCCGACCCACCAAAGCTACTAGTACTTGTCACTTGTCAACAATATGGCAGTGGACTTTTGGTCAGGTACATACCATCATATCCCTCCACATTCTTATTCTCTGTTCACGAGAGCACAACTTGAAAATAAACCACCATTACATCACGATGATAATCATTTTTACTCATTTTTTTCAGCGACTTTGATTTGATCAATCGAGGCCGTGCATTTTTCTATTCTTTGGCATAGTTTGTTATATGATTAATCTTCAATTTAATGATAATTATAGCCAGTGTCTCATCTTAGTCTAGTCTCAACTCTCTCGTAAAAGCTCTCTCTATATATAGGTTAACGCACACAAACACACATATATATTACGGATTTTATAAGCTTCCTTTTTGTGTTTGTAATGGGTGCTCAATGTTTATATTCTAGTTAATTGGTGAATTTTTAACGTTTGTAGCTTGAATAGTAACAGCCTGCTTGATTTGACAAACATTTTGGTCATGGATTAGCTAGGGTTAATATTAATTGTTTTTTTTTCCTACCTCCACCTCCTCCTTTGCATTTACAAGTAAGAGAAAATTATTCAAAGTTCTTTTCTAACACAACTTGTTGTGATTCTTGTTATTACTTCATCTGCTTGCTTACATTGGTTGATTTGTGTTTATATTTGCTTATATTGCATTAGAATTCGTATAGTATATTTGATTGTTGTCTCATGTTGTAACTTTGTATATGAAAACTGATTAAATAAGAAACTAATAGGTCATGTTGTAACTTTGTATATGAAAACTGATTAAATAAGTAATTAATAGCTCAAATTACATTTCTGGATTAAAAATTTACGTAGACGGGCATGGTTTTGGGAAGAGAACGCAAGTCCAATTTTTTTGCAACAATCAAGAGAGATTTAGGTAGCATTAGTAAAGTTTAAAGTGCATCAAATTTGTAGTCATAATGTTATCCTTTACATAAAATTTCCAACTTTGGCTTAGTTGAGAGAGAAGAAAAGGCTCAGTTCCTTTTACCATTAGTAAAAAGAAAGCTGGGTAAGAAGTCTCCAAGGGTGTTTGCAGGCATCTTTAATACCTACTTATTTATATTTATATTTTTTTTATAATTTCATCGGAAAATTTATGTAATATTCTTGCAATCCTGTGTGATTGGTCCCTAGGACTTAGGTTGTAAAATTTTGTAGATCTAAACTTGATTTTGTAGCTTTTGTTTTAATTTCTAGCTTAGATTAGAAATTTTCAAAAGTTTGTTAGTATTAGTCACCTCCCATGGTTGAAGATGGAATTCATGCTACATCCAATGGTAAATTGTCTATCTTCATCTATAAGGGTATAAAGGTAAATTGACACATTGATGCACTCACAAGTAAGGATCATGCATGCATATCTTGGGTTTCTAAATTTTCATGGTTCAGTCTTATTTTGATTTCTAAATTTGCATGGTTCAATCTAAATTGTTTTTTTTTTTTAAAAAACTTTCTTGTTGAAAATTTTTTCCAAGTATAAACTACAGAATACTTCGATCCATGGAAGTAGTGATCGAAGGCCTTTGGAATGTTGTCGATCAAACATATTGAGAAAACAGTTTACAACTTGGTTTTAAACTCTATCTACCTTAATTTCTCTATACTACTTTGTTGGCTATTTAAGCACTATGCTAGGGTAGAATCATGCATAATTCATATATCGTATAGAGAGCAGATAATAGTGAGCTTTGAGATTGCATCTTAGTTTTCTTTGCATTCATCATCTGCATTAGTTGGTGAGTGTAATCTACATGTGTTGACATCTGTAGTTGCGTACTACAGGGAAGAATTTAACACAACATTTCAGTCCACCATCTGTGGTTGAAATTTGGATGACTTGAGGTTGAGATTGAATCACTAAGAAGCGGGTTCTTGAGAAACGGATATTGTTGATGAGCGGAAGGACTGCTTGGAGATTTTAGAGGGAAAGTTTGGAGTCTTCTGTGTCAAGAGGTAACTAGGGGATTCTTAGGGTAGCATATGTTAACCTATGTCGTAAACTCTTTCTCATATAGTGGTTTTAATTTGCCTGGATTGGGTCCCGTGGTTTTTTCGCGCTTAGATTTTTTCGCATAAAAGTTTGGTGTCCATTGCAGTATTTCTTATTGCTTATTATTGGTGTGGATTGTTTGGATTTTTACTATCTTCTATCCTCTGTGTTCAATTTCTGATTAAAGTAATTTTAATTTTGAGAAGTTGTTGAAATCTCAAATTAGTTCTATAAGACCAATTAACCCCCTCTTTAGGTTTAGATCAGCGAACTTTGCGTAACTCTATCAGAACCTCGATTCCATTCCTACGAATTGTCACTGTGTAATATTCTTTCTGCACAAACTCCAAAGTATGAGTTACTCCAGTGGAGAGTATTAGATTTTCTTAAACTCTTGCTGCATAACTTAGAATCATTTAAACAAGTAACTATTTAAGCGTACTTCTAAAATTATTCAAACTTTGTTTACTTAGGAAATACAAAAGCTCAAGGGTTCCAACCCCTTAAGTTGCATCCACGGAACTACTGGTGCATAATGTGCAGTGAAATGGCTCAGGGGCACAAGCAAAGCCCAAGGGTTCCAACCCCGCTGGTGAGACAAGGCCAGGGGAGGAGGAGGTTTTGAAGAAAAAGGGGCAGGAATAGAAGGAAATGGATGAAAAACTTGATTCAGTGAAGATTAAGGAGATGGTTCTGAGTTTGATTAGTTGTTTAGTATGTAGTGTTGGGTAAATTGAAGAGAGAACAAAAGCCTAAGTTGGTTTTAGAGTTAGAAATGGTGGTTTTAGAGAGAGTTTGTGGGCTTATGGTTTGATGAGGTCACAGGTGAAGATGGAAGAGAGAACCAGAAAACCCACTTGAATTATTCATAGCAAAAGGTCCTCTCTCGTTGTCTCCCATGTTCTTGATGTCTGTAGGTGAAGCTGCGGCTGTGGGCCTTCTATTGGTTGTTCCCATTGGCAGGGTGGTGTTGTTTGATTTTAATCAAAACCTGCATTTTTCTTGATCTTAATTTGAACCTGCATGCAAATTCGCATGCCTTTCAGCATCAAGATATTCTCCTCTGCAGCTTTTGCAGTGTTTGAAGTCACCTACTAACCCTCCTCCATTGAAAACTTTTTGAATTTCAGCAGCCCATTCTCCTCATTTTTGCTGTTGAATGCCCCCGTATTTTGATGAAGTTGGCTGATGCCGATTTAGAGTATTGGTCAAATCCTGCTTCTTTTTGGAGAATTTCTAACTCTCTCTCCCCTTCTCTGAATTTTATTCCCTCTTCTCTCTCTGTGCAATTAGGAAGCTGCCTTATTTACTACTCCATCCGTCCCAAATTAAGTGTCCCTTTTTGGGAATCTAACTTTTTAAGAGAATGATTTTTATAATTATTTCTATTGTATTAGTGGTGAATGAATTACCAAATTTATCCTTAGTGGGTCCATAGTGATGTGATGGTTTACTTTTTATAGGTTCAATGCAAGAAGGTTAAATTGGTAATACTATAAAAAAATAGTACATTATTGACTTTTCAAATGGGACACTTATTTTGGGGCGGATAAAATTGGAAAAGTGGACACTTATTTTGGGACGGAGGGAGTTTCTTTTTTAGAATAGTTGTTTTTCCAATATTTCAAGACAGGAAAATAAGCGCCAATACAAATCTTGTTAATCCCATCACCGCAAAGTGGGTATTACAGAAATCTAAATGTTAACAGAAGTATGTGTAATTTTCAAAAACAGACAGGAAATTGTAATGTACACTTATCTTAGGGGATGCAGGTGTAAGTTACTCTGTTTATCATTCATGAAACCTGTGGCATTGCTATTGGTAAACTAGAACCTTACTTCCTTGCCTGAGTTCACTTTTTGCAATGAAAATGTTATGCATTTATAAACTGTTTCTTGGATTTTCTTTCCATATTGTTTCTTTTTAACTTATCCTCTGTCTTGAAATATTAGAAAAACAACTATTTAGAATTATCTTTCTGTTGGTGCAGGTTAAATCTTTGCTTAACAATGCAAAGGCAGGTGCTCCCTTGAATGTCCCTGGAACATCTTCTAGCCCAAAAGCTGCTTCAAGCAATTCATTACCTTCCATGTTTCCTGCTGGCAGTACTCCTCCTCTTTCACCAAGAAGTTCATCCGGTTCTCCTCGCTTTGCAAAACAGAGGGCGGGTCCTTCTGCTTTAGGTTCTCCTCTAAAATTAGTGAGTGAGCCTGTAAGAGAACCGATACCTCAGGTTCGAAGAATTTACAATGATTTTCCTTTGCTCTTCTGGCTTTATACTACTAGTTTGTTACTTTTCAAGTGCTTGTTTTCTTTATGCTTAGTTTTTAACATACTTGTATTTTTGGTTATTGGTTTTGAACTTCTTATTTGAATTTGTGCGATGCTTGCAGTTTTACTTTCAAAATGGTTGTCCACCACCGAATGAGATAAGAGATCGATGTTTGTTTAGAATCAATCAGTTTTTTTATGGTCACATGGAAGGACTACATATACATGGTGAGATGTAACATAAAAATTTTCTATCAAAAGGAGATTTTTTTTTTTCTCCTTATTTATTACCTTTTTTTTTCTTCCTTTGGTCAGAATTTAAACTAGTTGTGAGGGAAATTTGCAAGCTGCCTTCATTCTTTTCCACCACTCTTTTTAGGAAGATTGACATCAATTGCACTGGCATTGTGACCAGGTAAGCGATTATTGCTTAATTTAAAGACAGCAGTTTATGGTGCAATGCTGTTGCTGTTGTTTTGATTAGAAGTTGTTCATATTTTTCCTCTGTCTAAACACTATGTAGGGATGCATTTGTTCATTATTGGATCAATGGCAACCTGTTGACGATGGATTTAGCTACTCAAATATTTACAATCTTAAAGCAGCCGGATCTCAAATACCTTACTCAGGTTTTCTTTTCTTTTTCATTTTTCATTTTTTTCCCCTTTGTTTGTTATTTGTTTTCTAAATCTATGATGCAATTACTGCACCGTAGATATATAGAAGGTTTCATGTTAGTGAAATCTTTTCATAGGCTAGAACACTATCAGAAATGAACTTCTGGTATCAAAAGCTATGTTCTGTGGATTAGTAACTAAATTTTGTCTTCAAAATGTTGATCATCTTGTTAATAGGGTGACTTCAAACCCCTGCTTCAAGAATTACTGGCAACTCATCCAGGATTGGAGTTCTTACAGAACACACCTGAATTTCAGGAAAGATACGGTATGTTCACGACGAGTTGGTAGATTTTTGCTTGCATCCTCAATTTGATACGATTGTATTCACTCATTTGGTTCTTATGACCGGTACATCTGAAGGATCAAGATCTCTAGAAATTTGATGTCTGTTTATGCTCTAGAAACAGATGATCAGAACTATGTTTATTGTGTTTCTTCTTTGGGGATTAGTATGTACTCTAATATAGTAAATTCTTATTTTCATTTGCAACTGTTGAGTTAGTTCTAAGTTGCAACACTGCTCTTGGCATTGCAGTCTGTTCAATCTGTCTAACTAACTTGTTAAACTAGAATAGGCTAGCTGCTGAAGTTTCTTGTCCGTAATTTGGGCTTTAGATAATTTGGGTTGTTTTGAGTTATTTTATAAAGAATATAAATTATATTGTGACAGTAAGTGGCACTTACTGTGCATATAGGATGTATACAAACAGGAGAAGAAAGAAATAGTGAACTACCTTCCATCTCTTTTAAGCATAACAGGAGAAGAAAATAGCAGTGAATAGTTTTCAACATCTGCTAAGCATAACAAATTTAAAAAGATCAAGAAAGAAGCCCCTTTTACTTCCCAAACATGGGTGCTAAGAATAATTTTTTAAAACCCATGTTTTAAATTTTATTCCCTCCGTCCCAAAAAATGTGTCCACCTTTCCTTTTTTGGCTGTCCTAAAATAAGTGTCCTAGCTCAAAGTCCAATGCAATTACAATAATACAATCTCTTCGTTTTGAATTTGTATGTAATTGCCATTTTTTTTTTTTTTTTTTTTAGTTAAAAACATTGTACAGTTGGCGCCAACATTTAAGAAGCTCCCAGTCAAAGATTTTTTTATTTTATTTTTTTTGTTGAAGTGGTCAAATCTGGGTCAAGACAAAATTTTAGAAGGGCATATTAGAGAATTCATTTCATACCACTATAATAATAAACATAAAAATTTACACTCTTAAAAAGTTATATTTCCCAAAAGCGACACTTTTTTTTGGGACAGAGGGAGTATTTAACCTTTATAAATTAAGATTCTTTAGTTAACTTCTTTGAATGAACCCACCATAGATTTTTTTTTTTTTTGGGGGGGGGGGGGGGGGGGGGGGGGGTTGGGTTTGTCATCTGAATGTGTTGGGAGCGAGAATTAGGGTTGGGTTTGTCATCTGAATGTGTTGGGAGCGAGAATTAGGGTTATGAATACTAGTCTCTGATGTTGACTTTAGTAGCATGTCAACTCAATTCAAATTAATAACTCCTTGTTCTAACTAATTGGTTCAACTACATGAATCATGTTTGTTATTATGCTTTGTCTAGGGTCACAGCTTTAGTTAAACCTAATGCTATAATGTCTTACCTTGCCATTTCAACTAATGATATTTTGGTTTTTCCCTTTTTTCGCAAGTGTCATTGAAGCGGGCTCAACAGGGGAGCGCATCCCAAAAACTACATAAGGGCCAAATAGGGCTCCTAGACTCTCGACACATCTACGAAATCCACTAACTTCCCCATAAATTTACATTTCCTCCCAAGAACCCCAAAAAATAAAGAACTAATAATATAGAACTTAAGCACCCCAATAAGAGTTTCCTTTCCATCAAATGGTCTCCTATTTCTCTCCCATCCACAAGCCCCACCATAAACAACTGGGCACCACCCTCCAAGCATCTCAGGCTTGAGCCCCCCCACTATACATCCTCTCCAAGCCTCAAGCATGCTCACCATGGAATATGGCAGGACCCAGTGAACCCTGAACAAACCCAAAAGCATCGCCCAACTATCCAGAGCCACTGGACAGTGAAGAAGATGATTCACTGACTCCTCATCCTTCATGCACATGCAGCATCAATTCACAATAATCTGCCTCCTCCGCCTCAATATGGAAATTATCACACGTCCTGTTTCAATTTGTTATATGGTTGTCTGAGCTACTGGGGCCTCTAATTAGTAACATTTTGGAAGAGAACAAACTCAGTTCTACTTTATCTAAATTTAGAGGCCAAAAGTAAGTTTGGAAGTATTTTAAAACCGAACATTTAAGATGCATCTCAATTCAGGTGTAGTTGCAGGCATAATCTTGATCTTCTCCAGCAAGCATATCAGAATTTCAATTTTGATAGAAAGCGATATATTCTGGATGGGTGCATATTCTGCTCTCTCTCTCTCTCTCTCGATTTTAATGTTGGATTACTACTTCCTTTCATACCGACAAGTTCAAACACGGAACTTATACTCGGTAAGCAAAACATTTCTCTCTGTCGAGTGTTTTAGCCAGTGGATTATTTTGAAAGAAAATCTATGGTTTGATACAACAAATTGCATGAAATGTTTGTAAGATTACTGAAGTTGGTATTCTCTTCTCCCATCATATTCCATGGATACAATGGACTACTTCCTTGATGCCATTTACATCCATGTGATGCTAGCAATACTTCTTTCTGCTTCAAATCAAGAATGCTTAGGGATATTAAATTGAGAAATTTCTCTTCCGAGGTATGAGTTCATAGAGATATTCTTGTTTGAAAACTTTACAGAATTTTTTCTTAAAGTTGATGATGCTTAGTGAGGATTCCAAAAAGCAGCCCATTCACAAACAAAACAAAAACCAGACTTTCAAGTAAACTGCTCATAAACTGTAAGTTCAATTCAATTTTCTTGTTGCTATGAGCCTGCCAACTAGAGTTGGTTTAAAATGGACTGGCCAAAATGCCATAATTCCCAAAAGACGCCCTGGCTTTACTTCTTAGTTTGCTTTGACACCCAAATTGATAAAGGATAGGTCTGCACCTAATCTTAGTTACTTGATGAATTTCTGTTTCATACGTAGGATTTGTGGACCTGGACATGAGTTTTATGTTTTGACCTAGATCCTGAATCAGTAAGTTGTTATAGCTACAAAAGCAACATTTTAAAGAAAGACAGTTTCTGGTTTGATGACTGTTAGTATTTTCTTTCAATGAATTGTCAATTGATTTTTTTCAAAATCAATTATAAAAATCTGAAGAAAATTAAGGCAGCAAAAATCCTTCTTTGTAGTTTTCAGATCAATTTCAAATGGAACTCTCAAAAGTGATTTAAGGTCTTTTTGCACTAAGAAGTTGGAGTCTATTGAAAAAAATAAGGACAAGGCCAAGTTTTATATAACAACGAAGCAGATATGGAAATAACGAAAGAGAATACGGGTTTGGAGGTCTCATAGATGCACAAAAGCCATAGTTAGCACCTTATGGACAACAAAAATTACCCATAGAAATTTCTCACTTAAAGTGGTCATCGTTTAGCCAGTACAATAATTTAGTGTCACTCACATTTCGCCAACAGATTCTAGCACTTATATTTAGGAAAATGACGACACTATGAATCTCTCTGATATAGTTTGTGTATCTACAGCTTCATTGTGAACAAAATTGGTACATGCAATGATTGTGGGAATCTCACCCTGTACCAAAATCTCTATGCCTAAGATCTTCACATACCTGGAGCAAATCAAGTTTAAAAACCATGTAGCAGAATACTAACCATATAGCAAGCAACACACACGGATGATGTTTCATACTTCTGAAAAATTCCCATTCTCAAGGCAGCCTGAGTTTACTAATGATATGCTCTTTTTTCTTTTGATTAAAAATTTGGCTCATATTGAGTGTAGTTTTCATGTTGTGCTTTTGAGATTCCATTGCCTCTGCCTTTTTCTTCCCTGTACTTTTATTCATTCCAATATTTTCTTAACGAAGCAAGGAGGCAGGCATTGTCTTTGGTTGATGGGGGCATTAAATTTATTACCAACCCCCATGGGGTTAATTACTACTAAGTGTAGAGTTATTTTTCACGATTTCTAGTGCCGTTGAAGATGCCCGTTGATGCATTTAACATATAATTTTATTTTTATTGGCCAGCTGAAACTGTGATCTACAGAATTTTTTACTACGTGAATAGATTGGGTAATAATCGTCTTACCCTCAAGGAGCTAAGACGGGGAGACTTGATTGCTGCAATGCAACATGCAGACGAGGAAGAGGACATCAACAAGGTTTTGAGGTAGATATATCATCTGAATTTTCCTTTACGGTCTTAGTTATGTTTTAAATTTATGTTTTTGGGTTTACCTTTCTAATGTATACATTAAGCTGGAAGCTTGGCAAGGCTCTTGCTTAGTTCTAACTGCTCGTATTTTATGAGATTCACATAAGAGTCTAGTCTAATTTGGGTCGTTTTTTAAACTTTTGGTGTCACATGCTGAATCAATTATAAGATTATTCTGACATGAGTCAATCACATTAAACCTTAATTGTAAATTCTTCACTATTTTATAACTTTAACTTTGTCATGCAGATTTGTTGTAGTTTTTCGAGGTTTCAAGCTATTGCGGAGAACATATGATAAATTACTTCGTTCTTTTAAAATATATGTAATTTCCTTTGCATTGCATGCTTCTTATATCGATTCCAGTATTGTGTTTAATGAACGTTATTAGTCCATTTTTTTTAATTCCTTTTCCATCTCATATTTCTTTATAGGTACTTCTCTTATGAGCACTTCTATGTGATCTACTGCAAGTTTTGGGAGCTAGATACAGATCATGATTTCTTGATTGATAAAGAGAACCTTATCAGATATGGTAACCATGCTCTTACCTACAGGATCGTCGATAGAATATTTTCCCAGGTTTGTGCATTCAGACACTGCTTCTGTTCTTTAGGGCAAACCTCTTGCTTTGTGCAACATTGGTAACCTCCTCTCTTCCCTTTTCCCACTGTATTTCATTTTAGGTTCCAAGAAAGTTTACCAGTAAGGTTGAGGGCAAGATGGGATATGAAGATTTTGTTTACTTCATACTCTCAGAGGAGGATAAATCATCTGAGCCTAGTCTTGAATACTGGTATGTTTCTGCCTTCTGTAACATAAGGATATCGTATCATTCTCCATGTGATGTTGTCTCTTGTAGTTGAATCACTATTCTACTGCATGCTTCTGGAGACAACATAGATGAAATCATGACATTGTGCAAAGTTGAAGCAATTTTAAGTGATGAGTTTGTGTTTGGTTTAGACCATTAAAACTCTAATTTTTACAATAAATGATAAAGATTTTATACATTTGATGTATAATGTTTGGTTAAGTTTGACTTTCTTTTATAAATAATAAATCCTTGGTTTCCAGAGCCCATTAATGAGCCTATGACATTATGTCTTAAATTTATAATCACATCTTTGTGTAAGTGATTATTAGATAATCAATCCCATGCTACTTAACTGAATCGTTATTTTTATGTTAACATCTAATTTAATCACTTCTAGAGATTGAATCAGTCAAAACAATCTGTACCAGCTGTTATTACCAGGACAATTTTTTTATTGCAAAATTTATAAAACGAAAAAAGCAATTATTTTGTAACCAATCCCATGCTACGTAACTGAACTGTCATATTCATGTTCAAATCTAATTTAATCATTTCTAGAAATTAAATCAGTCAAAATTGCTTATACCATCGGTTAGTACTACAACAATTCTTTACTTGCAAATTTTCTGAAATGAAGAAAGTAATTGTAATGACCCACTCTACCACATGGTAAAAAAGCCTAATCCAGCCGTAAGTGTGCCGTCGGGGATGTCGGGCCTCTTACGGGGGTGGATTGCGGCAACCTTGTGGGGCGGGTGTGTGTGGATGGGTGCGAGGCACTGGCAGGTTATGGGTGCACAATCTCACATCGTCTGGTTGTGAAAAGAGAAAGTGTTATATATGTAGGATTAGTAATCTCTAAATGGTATGAGGCCTTTTGGGATAAAACTCAAGAACAAAACCGTGAGGATTCGGACCTAAAGCCGACAATATCATACCATGTGGTGGAGTGGATTGTTACAAATGGTATCAGAGCCAAGCCGGAAGTGTGGCCAACAAGGATGCTGGCCCCCTAAGAGAGGGTGATTGTGGCGACCTTGTAGGTGGGTGTGCGTGGACGAGTGCAAGGCACTGGTAGGCTACCTTGTTGGCAGACTACGGTTGCACGATCCCACATCGCCTGGGTAAGGTGAAGTGCTTATATATGCTAGATCCATCTTCAAATGGTATGAGGCATTTTGGGGTAAGACTCAAGAACAAAACCGCGCGGGCTCGGGCCCAAAGCGGACAATATAATACTATGTGGTGGAGTGGGCTGTTACAGCAATAGTCAACATTTCTGTGGAGGAATAATTTCAAACCCCTATAATTGGAAGCTTTCATGTATTACATATAATGTAATGGAATACGATTATTCCACTGAAACTCCTGGTTCATGGTCTTCAACTTTGTTATCTGGACTTTGGCATGTGTGTCAGGTTTGTGTGCACCTAGGTGTCAGATTACATCTTAGGTCAATGATGACATGGCCAAATTATCAGTTGCAGCCAATTCTTCTTCACCGTTAACTTGGATGACGAACTTTGATTTATTAGAACATTATGGACTTATCACTAATCAATCCTTTCTAATCTCAACATCATTTTGTTCAATCAACCTCTATCAGCTCATATTTTAGAAGTGTTATGATCCTTTCAGCATTAAAACAAAAAATATTCTACTTTACCAAATGAGTCGGTATTCCATTATTGATATTCTTTTTCAATAGCTTTTATTTTCTTAGCAAGCTCAAAGTGAATTAGGTTCTGGACCATTTGACTGGCAATTCACTACAAACTTGGGAAGCCCAACTGGCTTCTGAATTGATACTCTTCTGTTTGGTCCGGATAAGATAGAAACATATCCAATATGGAATATATCAGTCTTATTTATTGGTCGATTGCGACTGAAGCGCCAGACAACAGCTAGTCTGCCAAATCAAGAATTTGCAACCCAAGAGAAGCAATACATTCAGAAGTTTTATGATTTCTCTCTATCTTCTTTCCCATAAAGTGAATATTGATAAAGTCCCTGTCAAATGCCGAGCATTTTACCAGATTCTCTTGGTCCAATAAGTTCCCAGAACATATTAGCATTTAGCTGAAAACCCCAAGAGCCACCATCAGCACTTATCAGTTTTCTTACATAAACTTGAAATAGAGAATCACTGACATAAATTATGCTTCCTAAATCAGTACATGACATGCTACCTTTCAAATGCTTCATGACATTATTGCATGCAAATTTCAGAACAAAAAATTCAGTATGCTTATTAACCTAGTAGAAGATAATATTATTTCTGATTTAATTCATATGGAAAACAGGACCTGATTTTTAAAATACTAATATAATTTGGGAAAGTAATAAATCTTGCGTGCCGAAAGCTGTGGAGTCGGAGTGGGTACAGTTGGGAATGTGAGAGTGTTGAATAAGTACTGTCAACCTCATGAATTTTATAAATTAAAAGTATATGAAAATAAGAAGTATATCTTTAATTAATAACGTGTTTAGGGAATTTCTATATTCATAAGGCATCAAGGCTGCAATAGAACCATGCTTCCAAATTTCTAGACTGAGTTTCTTGGAGCACAAAAGATATGGACCGCGAATAATTCAAATGGAGATTTCATTCTCAAAGATTTTCATTTGTATGTGTATCATAAATATAACAAGTCCCATAAAAACATTTCTGATCGGATCCGTTTGTGAAAGAGTAGAGTGAATGAGAAAGATAACGAATTTTGAACCACTAACAAAAAGAAAAGAAAAGAAGGTATGGTTAGGAAGTCAAATGGGCTTTTTAGGGGAGTATTCAGAGATGGCGTAACCTTTTATATGAGGAAGAGTCATCAAGACAAAATTATGGTCAATTTTGACTTAACATTTAAAATGCTCTGTTTCTTCTTTTTATTGTATCACTTGGTTTTCTTCATAAGAATATCATAAGAAGAGTGATTGATTTGATTGCTGAAATCATTCAAAAACCCTTTTGTGTTTATACTTGATGTATTGTTATTTCTGAATTGTGTACACACTTGACATTAAAGTCTCTTGATCAGGTTTAAGTGCATAGATTTGGACGGAAACGGTGTTCTAACAAGGAATGAAATGCAATTCTTTTATGAGGAGCAGTTGCACCGAATGGAATGCATGGCCCAGGAACCCATGCTCTTTGAGGATATTTTGTGTCAAATAGTTGACATGGTTGGACCAGAGGTTAATCTATGTTATCTTTTTATTTTTTTTGTTTATATTTTTTATTCTTTTGATAATTTTTAATTATTTTTCTTCTATTCGTGTTTTAAGTGAGTTCGGAAATAGTTTTGAGGATGACTTATAATTGCCACAATAATTTTGTATCGGCCACATTGTGAATCAATCGTTCCTCTAAAATAAGAAGGTAAATTTGTGTACGGTGTGTAATCCTAAAAATTCTTCTATTATATTTTAGACAGGTAATTACATTCTATTTTAAGATACATGGGAATATTATAGTGATTGGAATGTAGTTGACAGCTGCTGTCAATGGCTTAAAGAATATTCTATGGCACACTGGTCGTGTAAAGTCCGAAGTGTGGAGGAGTGTCTACTGAGCTCATGTGGTCATTAGAACCATTGTTCATTAAAATATGTCCCCAAACACACCTTTAGTAAGTAATAATTTGCATTTGGGATAAGCTAGCAGGATGATGGTGTTCAATCTCTCGAACAGAGTTGAACCAACGCATGCAGTGTTGCGGCAGACATGCTTCCCAGCTAAGCTGGCTGTCATCTTCAGTAGATAATATTGACGTGTGATATTCATGTTTTCTTGCTTGCAGAATGAGAGCTACTTCACACTACGTGATGTGAAAGGTAGTAAACTTTCAGGCGGCGTTTTCAATATCCTGTTTAACCTTAACAAGTTCATGGCCTTTGAAACTCGTGATCCATTCCTAATTCGTCAGGTGTGTGAACCATTTTTATTTGTTCTTAGAATTGTTTGGTTTATACTTTAAAATATTGTATTTGTGACAGGAGCGCGAGAATCCAACCTTGACAGAGTGGGATCGCTTTGCACACAGGGAATATATTAGGCTTTCAATGGAAGAAGATGCTGCATCCAATGGAAGTGCAGATGTTTGGGATGAATCACTCGAGGCACCCTTTTAAGTTGTAGCAGGTAAGGTAGTTAGATTCTGCTGAAGTATGTTGTAAAAATAATATATACACTAAGCATCAATTGTATAGTTTCTTTAAATTAGTCAAATGTGAAGATGGTAGAGTTTCAATATGGTTCATGGATTATATAGACTAAGCATAAAGGGCTAGCCCAGTGCGCGAGGTTCCATTAGTCTTTCATTTTTGTTGTAGCTGGTTCTTGAATTAGCTTGGTATTTGGAAGTTTAAGGGCTTTTTTGAATTTTCCGCCATTGCGGGGTCTGAGTAGGTCAGATGTATGTAGCCTTACCCTCACATGAAGAGAGACTGTTTCTGTGATTCAATCTCATGACCTCCAGGTCACATTAGATTCAGAATCTCCATTTTGTTAGTCCATCTTTACAAAAGATTGTTACAGAAGCACCGAAAAAGTGGTGTGTGGCGACTTATGTGGGCGGATGCGAGACATTTGGCAAGCTATAGGTTGCAAAATCCCACATTGTCTGGGTAAGGTGAAGGTCAAGTGCTTATATGTGCTATTGCTATCTCCAAATGGTATGAGGTCTTTTTGGGATAAAAGACAATATCATACCATGTGGTGGAGTGGGCTATCACAAATGGTATTAGAGTGAGCCCAGTCGGAAGTGTGCCAATGGGGACGTTGGGCCCCCTTTTTTTTGTTTTTGGGGGGGGGGGGGGGGGGGGGGGGGGGTGTTGGTCGTGGCGACTTATGCGGGTGCGAGACACTGGGTGAGTTACAGGTTGCAATCCCACATCGCCCGGGTAAGCTGAAGTTGAAGTGTTTGTATGTGCCAGTGTTATCCCCAAATGGTATTGAGGCCTTTTGAAGTTTTGGGGTAAAACTCAAGAACAAAACCGTGCGGTTTGGGTCCAAGGTGGACACATACCATGTGGTGGAGTGGGTCACATGATAAGTTTGACAATGTCTGGACAATAGACGGCTAGATGTCTTAAAATCATCTGATTCTCCTTGTTCCTTTTAGGCGTGTTGCAGATTTCCTGGAGAAAACTGAGGAACTGCAGAGCTTAAGAATATCCAGGCACGTCATGTTTTGTACCCGAGTCTAAATAAAGGAGCTACACCCAGTCAGTGCTTGCATGAATTCATAGTGATTAAAGACACTACACATGCTGTTCCATTATTTGCATCTAGTTATAAGTTATTATTGTTGTCATCCATTGAAATGCAATTTGAATATTCAAAAAATATATATATACTAGTTTGATGCCTACTTCAAACATGAGTAATATATTATTTGTGCTTGTATAATTAATCGTTCCTGAAACCTTAGAAAATTTAACTCTCTCTTTTAATTTTTAATTGTTTCTCTAACTACAGGTGTCTTATGAGGAGCCTTAAGTTCTTACTGCAAGCTGGTAACTAGATGTCAAAACGGCAATTTCGCTGGGACGTAGACTATCAGCAAACGTCTTCAACCCATGAGAGAAATTCTGAAGTTACTCGAGTCAGATGTTTATGTGATCTGTGGATATGGTAGTCTGACCCGGGAAAAGAGTTGAAAGTGCTGTGTTCGAGTGGAAGCCTCTAATTAGAATGCCGAAGGCCTTGGTGAGATGGGCTAGTTGATGACAGGTGATTAATCAGAAACAGTCGAGGGAAGATCTCAATGTTTAGCACCTTCTGTTGATTCTTCCCCACCTTTTTTTTTTTTTTTTGTCTCAAGTTCTTGTTGGTGATCGTAACGTTTTTTTATGGAGGGATCAGTTGGTGAATGGTTGACTGTTGTGTCCTCTGTTATTGTATCATAATATATATATATAGTGGAATATAATATAAAAATGTAGCTTCGGTTGGATGTGTGTATATATTTGTTTTTTAGTTTATATTTGTGATGACTTGAATAGTCCACAGTATATCTATTCGGAATGATTGCTTTATTGTAACCTCATAATCACGTTTTCGAAATGGAAAACAATCTATGCGTGCAGTGGTACTGGTTTAGTCTCTTTTTATAGATCTGTTTTTCGAGATTGATTTCTTTTTTCTTTTTCTTTTTTCTTTTTACAATATTGAGTACCTAAATGCGTAATTACAATCCTTTTGCTTTCGTAATTATGTTTGTTGGAGTTGTCTGAGCTTCGACAAAATTACTTTAGAAGTTTGATTTATATTTCCAACTTAATAGTGGTAGTATAGATAGGATCTCAAAATAATGTTAGTAAAAAATAAAAAAGAAAATAATAAGATGATGTTTTTCAGATCTAAAGAAGTCAACTGGGATGTACTAACTCCTCACATGTAGATTGATACCAATATTTACTCAATAGGATCTTCTTTGTATTTTTAGATCAATTTATCATGGGGTGAATTCAAAGGGGACGCTAAAAAGTCATCTAGGTCTAGGTCTTTTGTATTAAGGTCACTTTGTCCTCGTACCTCATGAAGTAAAGTATCAGGAGTTCAACTTTCACTTGGTGTAAACAATTATTTAGGACTATATTTCTACACCCAGGTTAAAAAATTTCAGACTTTAAAAAGTGATTTAAGCCATTTTCAATTGGAGTCTATTGAAAAAAAAAAAAAGTAATGGAAAAGGCAAACTTTTACGTATCAACGAGGCAGAACAAAAATAAAGTTGAAACAAAAATTGAATATTCTAAAAAGATTGGAGTCAATGTTTCATACTACAAAAATAAATAAATAAATAAATATCAAAAGCTTACTAACTCGCAAATCATATATATCCAATTACTTCTTCTCTCCGATCTATTGTGGGTCTCTTCTATTGTGGGTCTCTTGTTTATATATATCCAGCCTTGCTACTGGTATATTATAGGACTCATCTTTTCTATTGGGTTGCTATGATAAATTACGATAAACGACGAAGATGTAATTTTAGAATTCTCCACTTAATTATCTAAATACCTTCCAGAATTCTCTCTAATCTACCATTCAATATACACAATTTATACAAACTTTCTAATCTTCTATAATCCCATCTCTTTACAACACTTTCATCTTCTTAAATTGTTTGCTAATTTTATGGCCTTCAAGCCCCCACCCTATGGACCCAGGTTCGAACCCTCCCCTATCACAAACCACTAACCATTGCCAAGGATAACAAAAAAAATATATGCCAACCCTATCGAGCATAGTTGGTGAGAAAACTCTTATTTGTTGTCATTCAAGATGGAGGTCCCAATAATCAAAGTGAAAATCAATTTCTTAATTCTTCAGAAGTATCATTTGAGGATCTAAGATATCTCAATACAAGCATAGATTTTATGCATAGCAGCTCATAATTAAAATGGCTACCATTTTAAAGCCACTTTCCTTAAAAATGAAGCTTATTGTCAAGGACTTGGCCTTTCCAAGGACCAGTTTCTTAGTGCCCTTTTGACAAGAGGCTCCGGGTCGCCTGTAAATATTTTAAATATTATTTATAAATCAAAAGAACTTAACAATCATTTAAGAATATGATATGAAAGGGCAACAATACAGAGACAAAAAAATAATAATAATAATAAAAAAATCACATCTTGCTTGGGGATATTGAAAGATCACACGACCCCCCATCAAAAAAGCTCTATCTATATGAGCCATTTTCACCCCGACCCAATGTTCAAAACTTGCAGTTTGATCATATGAACATATGTGCCTTCACTCAACAAAGTCTACAGCAATATGTTGTGATCTTGTTTCGGGAAATTGAAAGACCACACACCCATAACCCCGAACCTAATCTAAGCAAACCATCTCTCTCCAGGACCCTATAGTGATGTCCCCCATTCCTACTCTAAGAGCGCCAAGCATTCGACAAGTGTTGCATTCTAATTGGAACATTTGTCCTAGAGGACCTCCTTCCACTGGTAGACTATGCCAGCAATCCAAATCAAAGACTCGTATGTGTCACACGAGCCTCAAACCTTGTGGAACAAAAAGAAGCAAAAGCTCAATTGGATTATGCAATATATGATATTATTGACCCACAAACCCCATCCATCACATGCCCAAGCTAAGGCCAAAACTTTAATTCCAACTAGAAATGTAGTGTCAACTATTTTTGTTGGAAGAAAACCTAAAGAGAATCCCGAAATATTCATCTGATTGTGAACAATGAGAACACAAAGGACAACCAAACTGCAGGGTCTATCAATACGTCGTCTCGGTAATGAAGGGAAAGAAACATTGAGCAAGATTTAGTACTAGAAAAACATGTAATATTCTTAAGCAAAATAGGCGCTCCCCAAGGGCTCAAGCAGCACTCTGCTTTTTCAGCTTCGCAAGCTCTTGCCTGATGGTTCCAGCTTTCTGCACATTCAAATTAATGATGAAATTAAAAAGAATGAAATACCCTTGGGATCCTTCATTAAACCAAAATTCATAGGATAAAAAGAAAAAATGCGGTTCAACCAAGCTCTCTATGAATGGCTTGACATGCCGATCCCCCCACCACACTCAATCAACTATGCTATCAAAGAAGTTTCCGCAAAAATAATTTTAGCTGTAAAACATGCAAAATGCTTACCTTCTATTTTTATTATGCTAAGATATGAAGATGCAAGTCAAGTCCAAATTTGAAGAACTTTTTAATCAATATATGTGTGTGTGTGTGTGTGTGTGTATTATCTCAGAATCATATTCCAGATTTTATTCTTCAATTTCCTTTTACAAAAATGATCAGGGCATAATTGCCGAAATTTAAGGTTAATGCACAGCTGTGAGGACTCAATTTTTTTATTTGCTTTGAAATTTTTAAACTTTTACTCTACTGAATTTCATGCTTAACAAGCTTGTTACCAATCAGAATACCTCCTTAAACTGAGCAGAATGCTGTGTGAGCCAAATGTGCGAATGCGATGATTGAACTATTGTGCAAAACGGAGACATTTCACAAGTTATTGAAACCAGTGACCTATGAGACCAAAGTAACTAAACCAAGGTTTGATTAGTTTAAAGACCTTAAGATCCTGAGAGTTGTCGAGAAGCAATTTTGGAATATAAGATAGGCAATTTGGCAAACACTAACCTTTCTTAGTGGTGTGCAAGTATTGACAAAAACTAATGATGATTGCATGCCAAGAATCGGCAATATAGGACTAAATTCAAACTACAAGGTAAATTCCTTGACAGCATATTGGTGAAATTGCAGCCGCCCTTCACACACACACACACAAGATGGGAAAAAGAAAACATACCTTGATCTTTGCCAACATAAGCTTGAACCTATCAAAGTCATTTAGTGAGGCCCTTCTTTTCTGCACAATCAGCTTCCTGCCCCAGGAGCTTTTCTCCCACTTGTTCTTGACATCTGTTGCACCACGGAATGTGGAAGTTAATAGAGCTCACTTATTAAAGTTTAAGTAAAAAAAAAAAGTCCAAATGTTGAAGGCAATTATATTGAGTTGGCCACCCACCTGCAGCCTCCATGGCAGCAATCAGAGTCTTCTTCTTGGGGACCCTTTTGATGTCAATCTTGATATCTGTAAGTGAGAGCCTTTTGAAATTCATTTGAGCTCTCACCATATCAGGTGCATCAACTAAAGCCTGCCAAGTATAAGGTTCAAAAATTAAAATTGGCGCTCAGGGAATAGAATACGTATGAATAAATATGGATCTAAGAATTGGCAATCATGGAACAGAACACATATAAGCCTGCCAAGTATAAGGTTCAAAAATTAAAATTGGCGCTCATGGAATAGAACACGTATGAATAAATATGGATCTAAGAATTGGCAATCATGGAACAGAACACATATAAATATTTATGGATCTGAAACAGGTATACTCCAAATACAACGCATCAGCAGTGATTGATGATTGCAACTCAAGCCTATACCCAAGAAATTAGTAAATAAAGTTCAGGCCTAAGGTATCATATGCTCTTCCAACCCAAACCTTCATTCTCTAAATCCCATCTTATGGGAACTTTCTGAAGCAATAATTAATATTAATTTGTACACAAACTGCCATCCATAGTATCCATTATCCAATAACGAACTTGGATTTATGCCAGAAACATCTAACAATGGAGCTATTTACTTAATAAGACAATTAGTTGACGAATGTAGGAGAAAGAAAAAAGTTCTACATAAGGTTTTTATAATGAGAGAAAGTGTAGGGTAGAGTGGTAAGAGATATAATTTGGTGGGCTTTACAAAGAAAAACAAATTCGTATAATAAAGATTATCTAGGACATGTATACGAATACAAAAACTATGGCTATTTCCATATGTATGCATTTTCTTTCAAATTTTAAGCATAGAGGGTTTGGGTGCAACAAAAACATTATATATCCACAATCTAAAACAACAACTCTGCAAAACCTAACCTCATATTGTAATCAAGAATTATACCACTTCAGTGCTTAATTTTTTTTTTTTTAAATATATCACATTTTTTTGACTTAAAGATAAAATAATCCACTCTAACTTAAACATCTTGCTTGAGGTTTGAAAAAGTTTGCTACCAACTCCATTCCCAAATTTCCCCATCTAGATTTCCATAAATCTAAACCCTCTCATATTTTACTTGTGTTACATTTGGGGAATGAGGTAATTGGAATGTGCCAAAGTTTTTTGTATTTAAGTGCATAAATGCTTGCAGTAACAATGAAAAGACAAAATTAGTAAATATTTTTACTGACAAATTCTTAAAAATCAATATCAATATTAAATTCATCACGCTAATTAAATTAAGCAAATAAATTCAACAAAATTTATTAGAATATAATACAACTGAAATTGATGTGATTTCGGTGGTCTGAGAAAAAAAATTGATAACAGCATCACTAAATTATAGGCTTGTTGTGTAAAGTCCACTATACCCTGCTCCGTATATCCACAGCCACTATTACAAAGGCTGACTAATTCATTATTACTTGAAATTATTTGATCCATATTTCGCAAAACTGAAGGCATTAGACAATAAAGTAATAAATGTTAAACAAAAAATACACGTGATGGGATCATAAAAAACAAACCCGATTCTGGTCGATAACATCAACAATGACGACAAGTCTTCCATAATCTTTTCCATAATTCACAAGAGCAACCCTCCCAATCTCCACATATCTCTTGAAAGGCTACAAATCAAGGCAACAATTAGAACAATAAAAATAACACAAATTTTTTTTTTTTACCAAACAGACTGATAAGAACAGTCGCTAGCACTGTAAGATCATTGAGAAAATACCGGAAGAAAATGACACAAAATTGGATCTTTAAATTTTCCTCTGCAATCATCGCAGAAACAAATGTAAACCAAACTGGATAGAAAACTATAGTCAACTATTTGAATTGAACAGGTTGAGATGAGGATTTTAATTTTTGTGGAGACCAATACAACATATAACTTGAGATTCGAATTTTTCTTTCCCTTTTCTTGGAAAACAAACGGTAAATTACTGCAAAATGGAAGTCTATAACAAGCATCAGAAAATAACAGTTAAACAAACTATCAAATGTAAATCTACCTAATAGACCATTAAAAACAGCTACTCCTGCTTGGCCGATGAGAAAATGCAGTAGGAAAATCAAAATATTTAAAATTTCCTCTGTTTGCATCCAAGAAACAAAAATAAACGAAACTTGATACAAACTATAGTCATCTATCTAAACAGGCTGATATGAGATTTGCAATTCTAGAAACAAAAAAAGAACATATAATTTTGATATTGAAAATTTTCTTTTCTTTCGCAGTTTTTTCTCAGCAACCAAACAGTGGATTACATGTAAACTTACAATAAGCATCGAACGATAACTGTAGGCGTTTGGGAATATACACTCACCATTGTCGCTAAGATGTGAAGATGCAGAGAACTTGAGCTCAGCCTCCTCCAACAGAGTTACAGATTAGGGTTTTCTGCGTGAGAAGACTATGTTCTAGGGTTTCTCCAATGCTTTATACCAAACGGTGAGTGGGCCTGGTAATGGCAAAACTATTTGGAATTTAACAAGGCCTGGGCCCAAGGCCTTGGGCCCATGGGAAGTTACTTTTTAACCAAGTTTGGTACGTACATTTTTTTTTTTTTCAGACTCCATACGATTGACTGGGTTCGGCCCACTAATCAATGCCACAAAAAATAAAACCGAAATTTCTTTGTAATATAATAATACACTTTTATGAATTATTTTTTTAATAAAGAGAGTTTGAATTGAATTAATTCATCAAGTTAATTAACCATGACCATCTAATAATTTATCCGATGTAAGAGATTTCCTCGTAAAATTACAATTATATAACACTTCTTCTTCTTCTTCTTCTTTTTTTTTTTTTTTTTTTTTTTTTTTTTTTTTTTTTTTTGACTTTCAATATCAAAACCATATACCATCTTGTAAAATTACAATTATATAACACTTTTTTTTTTTTTTTCTTTATTTGACTTTCAATATCAAAACCATATACCATCTTTCAAGAGAACTAGAATGAAACTTTAGAAAAATTTCTAATGACTCTAGTCTCCCATGAATTAATGCAATTTTACAGCACAAATGATTAGAAATTACCATAACTATATGTCGGATTTTCAAAAAACCCAATCCACCCCATTTGTCTATCAAAATCACGTGGACAATTATGACATTAAAAGGTTAATCTTGTTGTGTGTCTGTGTTTCTGCATGGTGTAACCTTTTTTGTTGGGGATAACATTTTCTCTCGCCTAATTCTGTGACATTCTCATTGTATGCTTTCTAATAGTCCCGTTTGAACTTTAAATTGATGATTTTGGAATTTTTATGTAGATTGATTTTGTGTCTTTGAGAAAGGTCACTACTTTCAAATGTGTAGGTGTTTTCAATTTAAAATTATACTTTTTCAACTCATGGAAAATGTTAGACTTGCTTAGTTTGTAATTCTGAAAATAGTTCTCAATAATTCAGAGAACATAAAACAGTTTTCAAATAATAATAAAAGACAGTTATCTGAAAACAGATTTTTTTATAACTTAGTTTTCAAAAAACTGAACCAATCAGAATTTTTTATACAGATTTCTATTTTTAGTTTTGTGAGAGCAGAAAATTGTTCTCAAAGTTATAAACCAAGCAAGACCATAATTATTGCTACATTTTTTTCTCAAATTAGTACACAATTTCAATATGACTCATTTACCCGGGAAAAAAAAATAGTATGACTTGATATATACTTAAAATGCTTATTGTGCTGAGAATTAAGCATTAGTACTTAACCTATAGCTATTAATAAAGCAAAATTAATCATCCGTACTTAACCTATAGTTATAAATAATGTAAAATTAATCATTCATGGGATTGCATTTGAAATCCATTCTGACAAGTCCAAATTCCACTCATAAATCATTATATATATATTTTTTAATGATAGATCACATGGTGATATATCTACTTACAAGTTTATTTATGTATCAATTCATATTAAAGAGAGTTTGAGTAATTACGAATCATGTGCTTTTGAACATATTTTTCAAGATGGAATCAATGTGGTGTTTATGTTTTAGTTTGGTTTAATTTCGTTTGTCTGTCCACAATTTTGATCAATTATATTTAATAAATAAATAATTTATTTTTTAGTATATTATTTTTTTCAAAATAAATTTATATGGTCAAATGAGTTTTAAAATTAAAGATAAAGTACAGTAACACCCCTTGAGATTTGCCAAAAGGACACTCAGAGGAAAGTTTGCCTATTTTGGAACAATGACACCTCCTGAAGTTTGATACATCTACCTAAGACACTCCAATGGTAATAAATTGACATTTTTACCCTTTGACTTTTATATTGACTAATTTAAATGCTGAAATGACTTTTCTAACAATATTTAAATACTCCACTTTCATTTTTTATGTGTATGTGTGTATATATGTGACAGTATGTGTGTATATGTGTGACAGTGTGTGTTGGTGTTGGGGGTTGAGGAAGATAAAATAGAAAGGAGAGAAGGAAAAAAATTGTTATGGGTATGAGGTTAGAAAAGTCATTTCAGTATTTAAATTAGTCAATATAAAAGTTAAAGGGTAAAAATGTTAATTTATTACCATTGGGGTGTCTTTGGTAGATATATCAAACTTTAGGGGGTGTCATTGTCCCAAAATAGTCAAACTTTCCTCTGATTGTCTTTTTGGCAAATTTTAGGGGGTGTTATTGTACTTTACTATAAAATTAATTGTCAAAATATGGATTAATCCAAGAAATAGTTCTCTTTATTTGAAAACAAATTTGAACTTGAAAAGTTTCTATAACACTTGAGATTTTGCCACGTGTTTTGTAATGACCCAGTTATTTTCCTTCCTTTCCTTTTCTCAGATTTTCACGAATATTTTTTTTTCCGTTGATCTTTTTTTTTTTTCTGAGTTCAGTTTCTCGTCACTTAGTGTCATCTTGAGTGCTCGGGGATGGTTTCCGAGACTCTTTTCCTTGGATTGACGACTTCCTTTGAGGACCGAATTATTTTCATATTCTCACTTTTTGGACATTATTCACTTTTCGTCTTTTTCTCGTTTGTCACTTTGTTGGCATAACCTCACTTTTCGTATTCAGATTTGATTCCAGTTTTGCATGCATCCATGATATTTAAATTTCATGACATTGTATTTTTTACTCTTGTAGAAAAATACATTCTAGTTACTTACTTTTTCGTAAAGGGAATGGATACATACTTTCTTATAAATATTCTTGATTTTGGGGTTTTAGTGTAATTATGTAAAGTAATTATTTTTCGTCTTAGGGACCATTTTGTAATTTAATTTGAAAGATATTTTCAAAAAGGATCTTTTTGCAATTTTTGAAAAGTGTCACACTCTCATTGATCTACTTGTTGACATTTGTGTGGGGACACTTTGATACCTTGGATGATGTCATGTGGAGGGTGGAGATTCAATCACTTGTTGACCTAGGATAGATGCACTTGTTGGTTTGGATGGTTGACAAGTGTAGGCTTAGGATTAAGCCTATAATGGATGCTTGAATGAGTGACAAGTGTATGCTCCAAACTAAGTCTTGCAATTATTTTTGGGTTACTTTGAAATTATGTTGTTAAAGAGGCGTTTTGTGCAATTGACCATAAGTGTGTGTGTGTTGACCATGGTGTAGGATCACATAGTGAGTGGAGGATTTCTATTTCCTCCACTCACACTTTTTCACATTATGTTATTATCTTCCTCACCACAAACCCTAGCCTCCATAAATGAAGCTTAAAGCCTTAAGCTTTGACTTTGATTTTTGAGAGCATTCCATTGATTTCCAAGCTTAACCTTGGGAATACTTTTTATTCCCCTCATCATCCTCTTCATAACCCTTGAAGGGTTTGCCATTTTGTGTTGATTTGTCTTGAGTTCTAGAGAGACACTTCTCTAGTGAGGTATGGGGTGTTATAGTTTATTACCTAAAGGTATTACTTGCTTTTGTAGTGATGTATAAATTGTATGCATGTCTTTTGTTAATTTAAGAAATTAATGATTTATCAGAACTTGCATATAACTCATTTTAGACTTGGTATATGGCATGGCCATGACTTGATCTTTGTCATATATTAAATTGGGATGATTTAGATGAGTTTTCAAATATAGAGATTCAATGAATTTAATTTGATTTAAATTCTACTTAATTGTATTTTGCTTGTATTCCATTTTAGACTTGATTTATGGTATGACCATGACTTAGTGCTTGTTATATATTAATTTTGGATCATTTGAATAACTTTTGAAATCTAGAGATTTAATTAATTTAAATTTAATTAAATTCTATATGATGATATCTTGCTCATTTTGCACTTTAGATTTGATATATGTAATGACTATGTTATGTTGTTTAACATATATTAATTTGAGGTTATTTGGAATTGATTTGAAATCTAGAGAATTTAATTATTTTTATTTAATTAAATTCTATCTAATTGTTTCATGAATTTAATTATATCGTAGAAGTTTTTTCTATATTTAAATCATGGATGTTGGACTTGTCGTGTATTCACTTGATTGTGTTTTAAACATTGAATAACATTGTTGTTAAATTTATATTCATGAGAACTTGTTTCCAATATTAAATATATGATTGACTTGTATAATGAATTGCACACTTTGCATTTGACATTATATATGCCATTTTAGAATTGAAACTCTAAGGCACGGATTGTGTGGTTTCAACCTACTTGTGCATAGAAGGTGATTTCGTGCATTATATAAATTATGTATAAGTTGTGAACTTATTTGATTTATTTTAGAATCTTGGGACATTGTTACAAGTGATATGGTTAGAGTTTGGCTCTAGTGTGGGAGGTATGAGTTCTCTCCAATTAAGATAATGCGCACTAGGGTGGTCTTCCCAACGGGTTAATGCCAGGAATAACCGTTTTATTTTTGGTTCATTCCGAGACGTGATGTTCAAGTTTTTCACTATTTGATTTCGCATTCAATTCCAAGTTGACAATCATGTTTAATTACGACTTGTGGTTTTGGTTATTGGCGATTTAATGTTATTAAGTACATTTGTGTATTATGATTTTTAAGGAATTATCGCATGTTTTGATGTTGTTAAATACATCTATGCTAAATGTTCAAATGTAGCTTAGAAATGATCCTATAGATTCATTTGGAACATAGACGTTAGGTGGCGTGACCCACTTTTGTCATTTTCGTGCTTTAGATTTCAAGTTGATAACTTTGAGAATCTATGTCTTGATACGTTATATTAGAAATTCTAATTATACTAAATTGTTATATTTAGTTGTTTTCGCACTTTAAATTTCAAATTGATGACTTTGAGAATCTATATCTTGTTGCTTTATATAGCATGCTTTTATGTTATTTGGAATTGCACGAATGATGTGTTTTATGCTAGAAATGATCTAAGGTAGCTTAGGATGCTCCCTGAGTCTCATCTTTGACATAGACGTTAGGTGGCATGACCCTTTTGAATTATTTCATGTTAACTGTAAGAAATCGAGTCTA